CCTAGTAACAAAAGCTGTAATCCCAGCATTTGAGAGGTGGAGGCAGGAGAATAAAGAAGAATTCCAGACCATCTTCAGCTACACAATGAGATAGACACCAACCTTGGTGGCATGAGACCATGTCTCAGAGAGATAGTCAAAGCAGAAAGAAGGTGGAAAAGCAACTCTGTCCTGTGACACGGCTACCGTTATATTATAAACACTGTTTATTCACTTAACAGTTACTTCGGAGTATCAGAGATAAGAGGGACTCCAAAATGAGAAAAAAAAAAGTTTTATTAATTTTGCCAGATGCCATGTCGGGGGGGGGGGGTGCTGGGGCAGGGCTCTTTCTTCCACAGGTAATACACAGCTCAGATAAGCCTGTGATGGTTAAAACTGTCAAGCAGACGAGATCTAGGAGATCTAGGAGAGGGGCATCCGAAGGCTTATCTTCTTTAGGTTAACCGAGGTAGGAACTCTAGTCTCCATAATCGATGGGACCCTTCAATGGCCTGGTTCATCCTCAGGCTCAATCCCAAGGCCCAACGCAGGTGCACTGAAAATGCTATCCATCTCAAGTTTGTGGACACAGACAATAGTGTCCCGTGAAGAAGCCACGTGCCAGGCAAGTGCTCAGAAACCAAATGTGCCACTTAGCTCTGCTACCTCATTTCACCAGACGCATTTTCTCAACTGTAAAGTAAGACTGACAGTCATCATGTCAGGCCAAGCTGAGTCCTTATAACTTGATAATACCTGAAGTGCGCAACCATTAAGAAGAAAGGAGGTTTACCTAACTCAGGGTTCCTAGAAAACTCAGCAATATCAAGTCTGCTCTGCCAAGAGCCTGTCTGGAGGATGGCACCAAGACAATAGGAGTGTCCACAGGAGAGAGGTCACATCACCCAACAGGAAACCAAACAGCCAATCACAAGTCAGGCTCATTTTCCCATAACTATCAATTTCAGTTATGTCACAAGAAAATCCCTTTGAGGAAGCTTCCTTAATAATCTAAAGACCAACCCACTAGGATGGAGGCCTCACCCCCAAAAGTCCCACCATGCTGTACATACTTGGGGACCAAGCCTTCAGCACAGGAGTCCTCCAGGGACAAACCACACCCAAACCACAGCAATCATAAATCCTACTTTAGGGAACCAATGTGGTAATTACAGGAACACATGCTAAGCATTCAAAACTTTAAAATTATATTGCTACCTAGAAAGGACAGGAAGATAAACATTCTGCGGCCTCAGCTTTGCCCCTGTCTTCTAGGCCTTACTGACCTCAGCGAGTGACCAATCTCATTCCTGTGATGTGTAGTAGGAAGTGGATCAGCTGTTTCTTCCAAGCCTTAGCGCAGATACAGCAAACTCCCCAAAACAAACTTCCCCACCGTTTCTCACGGGCTCATCCGTGTGTTCTGTGCATCGAATGCACCTTCAGGCCAACAGATTTCTACCCAAGCTCTACCATCACACGTGCAGCCGCAACAACCACTTTCTCTACCCCTTCCTCGCCTCTTGTGAGTTTAGGCAAAGGGCTGCATTCCAAAGCCATATTCCAGGAAGCGTCCCCACCCACCAACGTACACAGGCAGCTCTGAGGGCCTCCTCGCTGTGCTGGGTCAAAGTCTCAAGTTCACTCATCCACTTGGGAAAAGTGTTTCTTGCGCCTTCTGCCTCCACATCATATACTCAGTCCCCCAGAGAAGGTTCCAGAGGCCCTGCCCAGCCTTGTTCTCTCATGAATCATGAACCTCAATAGGACTGATTAATGGCCCCACAGCTGCAGGACAAATATATACTCTGAGAAAAAAAAAAAAAAAAAGTCCTTCCCTTCAGAGCAGACGGAAAGGCTCAGTAGGCAAAGGCACTTGCAGCACAAACATGGTGCTTTGAGTTTCTGGAACCCAACAGACTCCACAAAGCTGTCCTCTAACCTCCACAAACATGTTGACCCTTTAAAAGGCAGCAGAAACAATCCACCCTATTCCCTGGATCCGCACAGTAGCGCCTTTGTCTCACATCTTACTTCCTGCACTTCTCTTCCTCAGTCCTGGAGACTGTACCCATCTATGGCGGCTTACTTCGCTGAGGCTTACCATTTCCAGCCTAATGAATAGCCAAAACACTGACCACACCCTCCACACTGACATCCTCCAAACTGACACACACCTGGTGCTCCTCCTGCACTGGAAGGATGCCCTCCTCATCTTGTACTCCCATCAGCCCACTGACTCAGTCTTTCAGGTCTACAGGAAACTGGTCTGAGGCGTGCTTTCCACTCTGCGGCTTCTCCTTTCTGCACCTCCAAGTTCCCCTTCTGCTTCTTCCCTGCCCTTACAAACCAGCCTGTCCTTGGCTTACCCACCTCCATTACCATAAGCCACAGTTCTGAAATCAAATCTAACCTGATTCTGATCCAGCACCAATTAACCCATACTACCTCCACATCGGGCGGAACTAGTTACACATTCCCATCAAGAACCCCAAGTTTGGAATTAACAGCTGTGGGATCATCTCTAATTAGCTCTGAAACCTCAGGCAAAGGGTTAAAATAGAGATGGCCCTGTCACCAGTCTTACTTCTCAGAGATTTTCCATAGAATATTCGCTAGAAATGTATTTTTTTAAATGCTTAATTACTATCCATACATTCACAACCAATTTTAATCAAATTTAAAATAGTGGCCATAAAATGTATACCATTTATCAACTTTCTAATAAAACTTTGTTCAACTAAGATAATCAGTGATTAAAAGCCAATCACATTTCAGTGGTATAAAAACATGAAAAAAAGGTGTATTTGAGAACTTATTCAATAAAATTTGTCTCAATAAAAATAAGAAGCTGACATACAATTTTCATATTTGATAGTGGTACATAATAGGTGTTCAGCAACACATGCCAAGCAAATGAAACGGCACCCCATGATCATTTCCTTCAGCCAAATTATCACCTCTCACTGAAACTGGGCAGCAGGAGGCTTCTCCATGCCAATTCTCTAAATCATGTCCCTGCCTGCTCAAAACACTCAAAAATCATATGCAAACTACATGGCCTGGCATTCCTAAAGCCTTGCAGAATCAAGTCTCCTCTTCCACCTCTCACTGTCTGGAAATGTCTACCTTTCTCAGAGGAACCACCTCCTCAACAGAATGTCCCTCCAGGAAGGGTGCTACTCAATCCCAGCCATAATAATCACTTCAGGAACTTGGCTTCTCTCCCAATGCCTATGCCCAACTCCAGGCCAGAGCTGCTTACAAGGAATTGGGGGAGGAGGGTTTGGAGAGGAGAGAGAAAGGAAGAGGTTCAGCGGAGACAAGACAGGCACTACCCAAGCTCAGGACCCCTGGCATGGCCCCCACCCTTCACACAGCTAATCTTCACTAGGCTGCATTCTGGATTCCACAGTCTGCCTTCCAAAGATCAAATGTAAGATACACAATTTCCTCTTTAACTGCCCCTTGGCGCTGGCAAGAACCTCTCCAGGAGACTATTGGGAAAGCAACGATCTTACTGGGCTTCTGCACACACACAAACCTCACCTCAACCCACCATTATCCACCAGAGACTACAGGGCTGCCACTCAACCTCTGTGGACCTGGGTTGGCTTCCATATTTGTAAAAAACGAGAAAGGGCCAGCCATGGAGAGGCTAACTCACCGTGCAGCAGGCCCTGAAGGTTTCCTGAAAACTCGCTTGTGCAGGGAGTGGTACACCATTAAGTCACTGACATCCCTGAGAGAAAGTTTTATTGCAGAGGCGAGTTTGCAAAGGAAGTGTACACAGAAAGAGAAATATGCAGAGTCCAGTGGAAAAGTCACAGACAGAAAGGACCTCTGGTGAGAGGCCTTCCTTGTTGGGGGAGGGGAAGCTGTAGACCCCTTCCTAAAGAGAAAGGAGGCATTTTACACCGCCCTACGGCAAGCACCCAAGCCACAACTCCACTGATCTGGTCCCTGTCATAGTTCCACCCCAAGCCACCAATGCAATTCCACCCATGTCCACTCCCCACCCTTATTTAGCCTTCCCTGGTCCCCAGCTGCTGACAAGAAAGGCCTTGCTTTTCTTACTTCAGAAAAGTCCCTATCCTTCAAAAGACTCAATCACAACCCCAGGACTTCGGGTTCCTCCACGGAGACCAAAGTATGACGCTCCTTCTAGCTATACCCCTAAAAACCTGGCCTTTGCCTTCTCCCCAGCATTTGGCCCTTCCTTCTTTAAGTCAGGTTGGGCTCCAGCGTTCCAGTCAGTGCTCTCTGAGGGCAAAGTCTGGGCTCAAGTAACCTGCAGTGCTTGAAAACAGTAGGGAGTCCACAAACGCTTACAAAAAAATAATAATAATAATAATGAATAAAATAATAAAATACAAAAGGCAGAAGGGGTCTGGAGCCACCAATGTTAACCAGGGCTCCACCTTCCAGAGATGACTTCCAGGAAAGCCCTCTTCTAGGTGCCTCGCCTGCCCCAACTGTAAAATGGGAAGACTCGAGTCCCTGGGTCCCTAGGCCCTTTCCGCGGTGACAACTAAGATTCCGCGAAAGCTCGAGGCAGTCGGGCGCGGCCCCGCCCCCCTGGGCGCCCAGAAAGGCCGGGGACCCGGAGAGCCCGGAGTGGGGGGACTCCCGCAACCCCGCCCCTCCCCCACGGCGTGCACCCCCCGCTTCCCGGCCGGGACCCGCACTTCCGCGGCAGAGCAGGGCGGAACAGGGGTGGCCCGCGCTCCGAGGCGGCCCGTCCCGGGGGTGGGAGGGTAGGGGACTCGGGGGGGTTCGAGCCAGCGCCCCGCGGGCCGAGGCTGCGGGAGGGGAAGCATTCGCTACAATACCTGGGGGAGGAGGCGAACGGGGCAGCGGCGGCCGCGACGGCTGGAGGCGGAGGCTCGGGCGGAGGAGGAGGAGGTGCCGGGCACTCCCCCCTCCCATTGTCCCGGCCCGCGGCCCGCAACCGCCCCGCTCCTCCCGGGGGCCCCGCGCCCTTCCCCGCTCGCCTGGCCCCGCTGCCTGGCCCTTACCTTGCAGCGGCCGGCTCTTCCCCCGCCGCTAAGGCTACTTATCCCGGGAAAGCTCGAGCGGGCCCCGGGAACGAACCCACAGACAAAAAGTGAAACTTCGGCAGGCCGGGAGCGGCTGCTGGTTGGTGCTCTCCCCCCTCCTTCCTCCCCACCCCGCCCCCCTCCCCGCGGTCTCCCGTGCGGTGCCCTGAGCGCTGGAGGCTGACGTCAGGGGCCTGAATTCCTGACTTTGCCTGCACGCATTTGTCCATGTAAGGTATGGGGAGGCGTGTGTGTGTGTGCCCGCGGGCCGCCGCGCTTAGCCTGCCCGGGAGGGGAGGGGCGCGGGGGGCAGCGCCCGCTGGAGGTGGGCGACCCGGGCAGCCCAGACTTCCTGGAGGAGGGGACGCGGGGGTGGCAGGGAGCATGGGAAGAGGAAGGGAAAGAGGGATCTGCCTCCACTGGAGGAAGAGGAAGGAGGTGCAGGAGGAAGTCGAGAAACCCCGGCACGCTCCGCTCTGTTCTGCAGACAGCAGACTAGGAGGCTGAGCTTTGAACGGGGAGATCCTGCCACGGAACCCCCCCCCCCCCCCACACACACACACACACCACCACCACCACCACCACCACCACCCCGACTCCCCCGACCCCGAGAGCCTCGGAGCCCCGCCCAGGACTCCAGCGGGACTCGAAACTGCGGGACGCGGAGAGCAACTTCGGTTGACTTCACACGTTGAGAGCGCCGAAGCTCTCAGGGGCTAGGACTCGGCCTAGGTGTCCACTCTGCAGGTCTAGGAGCAGACCTGACGACAGTCGACTCCCAGCCGGCTTTCCGCCTCCACGCAGGTCCCAGGCTCCCGGGCAGTGAGCTCCGAACCGAGTTAGACCCGCGAGGAGGACTCGACCACCCACTGAAGTGACTAACCCCAGTTCCTGGAAGGTTGTGGTTGACGAGCCTTGAGTAACAATGGCAGTCGGGTGCTTCGGGCCAACTTCCTGTCCTTTGTTCAGAGAAATGAACCTTTTGGAGTTTGAGGCTTTGCTTCCCAACCCTACCCTGCCGGAAAACCGGAGAGCTTGCTCTGTCCTTACAGCTTGAAAAAGAAAATACACGAACTGGGTGAACTGGTTTGAATAAAGACAGGCCTGTTCTTGGAAGGTTGGGGGTTGGACTTTTGATGTTTGTAAAAGTGAGCAACCATGAGAACCCCATTTGCTATGCTTAAGATACGGGCCAGGAGACGGTGAAAGCCCTCCTGCCCGAGGTAGTGAAGGCTTCTAATGCGAGCACGGGGAGGTCACAAACAAAACAGAGAAGCCATGATTTGCTTTCTCTGTGTTTCTATCCCGTTCCTACACAGAAGAGATGCTTCACCCCCACCGCACCCCCTGACACCAACCTCAGCCCACTCCAAGGGCACTCCCACCCGTCACGGTCGTTGGGTAGGTTGAACAGAAAAGATGGTAAAGTGGCCTACACTGCACAACTATCGGAGCAAAACTCCCAAGTCCCCACTCTCAAGTCACCTTCCACCCACCCTGTGGGGCTCTGACCTCTTGCAGCCTTAAACCAGTCATGCAGACAGAAAGTACACCAAGAACTACGGGATCGGGGAAGCTCGAACGTGGTTCTTCTCAGGTTAGATTTTGATAAACCTTTCTGACACGATTAAGTGTCAAAGTACATGTTTTTGTACTTGACAGTGTACTGAACACCTCTCCCGCAGTCTTGAAATGCAAATGCTTCTGGGACCAAACTCCTTTAACCCCTTTGTCCCGTCAGCTTTCCCAGCTACATATTCAAAAGAAAGGAGACAGCCGGGCAGGAGAGAAGATCGAGAGTACTGTGCATTCCACACAATAATGAAATATTTTTCTCCACATGATTAACCTGATTTAAGACGGGAAGCGAGCTCCTAGAGTTCAGGCTTTTTAAAAGATCACAATTTTTTTTTCGCTCCACCCTAGGCGTTTCAGCCAATCTGTGGCCTGTGTGTGTCTACTCTTTAGTATCAGAAATCACACAGTGCTCACTTAGGTAGGATGGAACTTGACCTCTCTTGCTTGCCTTACTCCCTTCTCAGTAACCCACTTATAAAGAATAATAGGGTTCTAATGAGGATTAATAAAATTTAATAAGGTATAATTAGAGTCATTCATTTCCTCAATCATACACATTGTAAGAGTGCTGTGTTGATCCAGAAATGCTACTAATTATGTTGAAACTCTTCTCTGTGTTGGGGAAGATCACTGTATCACTTCTCCCGAAATACGGATGAGTTGCTCAGGTAGGCACGGTGCTGGTGTGAGCATCATAGGAAGCTAATCACAGAAGAACCTCCACTCCTGAGGCACTCACCAGCAGTGTGACAAAGTCATAAATTGGGTGTTGGGTGAACCACATGCCCGGCCATCAGGAGTCCTAACCCTAAACAAAAGCCTCACTCCTCATTGTTGTTCTGCTTTCTTTTGTCCTTTCACTTACAGTGTGCAGAGACTTGGGCTGGGAAGTTTGGAAGTATGGAGCAGTCTAACGAGTGGTTTCTTTCCTATTGCAGAGAATAAAGGCAGTTAGGGCCCGACATAGGGCTACAGCCCTCTGGTCTCAGGAAGGCTGGCAGTTGAGATGAAAGCTAACAACAGCTTTGTCACAAGCAGGCTGATGGACCCTGCTACGCCGCTGTATCCATCACAGACCTATACCTGAAGGCCTCGCCAAAGCTCATGACAGCCCTTTTTCTGGAGTCTGGGCCAGGTGACAGTGTGAGGACTTTTCCTATGCAAATCGTGTAACCTGTAAGTCCCTCTGAGGGCTTTACGTTATTTCTGTGAAGCCAGAAGAGGCTAAGCATCTTATTCTTAACACTAGTTTCTGAGACTCCACAGTGAGCCCAGGAAGCCTGGCACCTCACTTCCCACTGCTGAGTGGCCATCTGTGTGAAGAGTTCAGTGTAGGGGCTTCGGATCTGCAGCTAGTGGAGCGGAAGAACACAGAACCAGCTACAGAGCAATAATGAGGGTACAGTCCCCAGGGAAGACGAGGGGCCGAAATAGTCCGACGGTGCTTCTCCCGGGATGGCATGCCCTGGCCTTGGCGATTTGGCACCAGCTTGAGCCCTCAGCTGCATTTCTGCAGTCCTGAAGAGACCTCCAGCTGTAACCAGTTGAAGTTAGGGTAGGCTCCTATGCACAGCTCCCTGCTCTGTGTGCCTTCATCTTTGCACTGTTTCCACTCTCAGGAACAATCTTCCTTCTCCGTTTACCTGGCAACCCTGCACGCTCCTGTGCAATCTCATTGCCCCTAAGGACTCTGTCCCCTGTGCCACCTCCAGACCACTCCTTGCTCTATGTTAAGACCTCAGACATAAGACACTGGGCCAAGCTCTTGCCTAATTTGTCCTTTCTTCCTACTTCACTCAGAGTGTAGTATATACTAGACTCCCTAACAGAATTCGTGCCTTGGTCATTGCAGGCATCTTGGGCTTGGACATGTTAATTCCTTTCTGATAATCCTGTCCACAGGCAGAGAAAAACAGAGAAGGTAGAAGGCCTGGGTGCTTCCATAGAGAACTGCATCAAGAAATGAGATCTGGGTCCAAGCAAGCCAGTGGGATGGTAGAGAAACAGGAGTCCAGACATTCGGAAGTAACACCAAGACTAGCTCATGGCGGGATGCAGGGGAGGAAGCTTCACAGGCCCTGATCTACTTCATAATCATTGTGCAATCTCTCCAGGAGTCCCTTCTTCTGTGGTCTAATTTCTTCCTCCCATACAATTAAATTATTAATTTGGTGTACTACAACATTCTCTAGCTCCCAAGCATAGATTCTTTATTCTCATCAGTGACCAAATCGGTTTCCACAAAACATGGCATGACACTTTTACTTGCAGAGATTTCTTCAGATCATTAAGCTTCTGTGTGAACCCTTCAGCTGCCATTTTCATGTTCCCTGGATAAGCAGTACTGGGTGGGTGTTTTCCAATTGGAGGCTGCACTTCCCTCCTCCGCCATCTCCTGCTCCTTTCTTTCTGTCTCTCTCCCTCTCACACATACTTCCCTGTCAATCCATCTCTACTCTTCTGCCTCCCTCTCCTTCTCAAGCCAAACCCGTGTGTGTGTGGGGGGGTGTACCCTTAACTTTTTCGTTTCAGGTTTTCTCTCATTTTCTTCCTCAGACTGAACCTGAAAGACTTCAAGACCCAATCCTTACCATTGCAGATTCTGCCTGCCCCGCTGGCCTCCCAAAAAGAAACCTCTTACCATCACCTTCTCACCATTCCTTCCCATGGTCTCCATTAATATGGCAGAGACCTTTCTGCCTTCTAAGAAAGATACATACTTGCTTATCCCGCTGCTCTATATTTCTCATGTGTTTGAGCCCCTCCTGCCCGACTTGATGGTAAGATACATGTTTTGCATTCTTTTCCTCACAGCAACAATTACCTAGCATTTAGAACTAAATGTTAAGGAGTTGAGGAAAAAAAATCCTTCATCAAGAAAAACCATATGACTGATATGTTTTCACCAGAAGATTGGCTATGTACCTACTAACACTGTGTGAACACTAGGCAAGGCAAAGGGGATACACTGTAGCTGTCCTCTGTCACAGTGTGTTTGTTCTCTGAGCCCTTCTAGGACTTTTCACGTTTTGTGCACATGAATTTTATAAGTTGTATAAGTATGTCTGTTACCAGAACACATCTGGAATTAAAATAATGGCTACCTTACCACATTGTATCACACAAATTTGTCTTTAAAACACCAAGTGTTGGTGACTCGGTCCCCAGCATGTGGCCCCGTGGAGGTGATGGGATATTTAAGAGGTGCGGTTTGGTGACAGACACTTGGGTCTTTGCAGGCCCTGCCCTTGAGAATGGTTATAGAAAAGTCCACTCTCCTGTGACTCCTGGGTATGTCCCATAAGACAGGTGTTACAAAAGGAGCAGCTTGATCCCTCCTCCCCTCTCTTATTTCCCAGTCTGAGATGTGACAACTTGCTCCCACCATATGGACACTGTCACCCTCACTAGAGGCCAAACTAATAAAATATCCAATATTGAACACTGTACATATATATGTGTGTACATGTGTGTACGTATACATATATATGTATGTATACATATATATTTAGAACTAAGCACATGGGGCAGTTTTAATATTTGATATTTCCTGTGCTGTTTCAAAGAGAGTGTAGTTCCCTTTGGAAAATCACTGTACTATTAACTAGTAGTGCAGTGAAGACAGGGCCTCTGGATAATGGCAGCTCTAACACAGGCATATTAATATCAGCCTTGTGAAAACCTGTTGCCAGCAATAGTGGTAGGGTCGTCATAGGTGCATTAGAAATGATAATGAAGATCCTAAGGAAAGGTTTGCTTACTTTCTTCCTCATAATTCATGCTACAACAGAGGAAAATAATCTCATTGTAAAATGTATATAGTATCAGACCTTATAAATGTAGGACTTCTGCCCTTATTGGTACTAGGATGCTTCATCCAGGCACACTTTCTTCATCATCTTAATAGGTTAAGCCAATGACTTACCTGAGTTGGGAGTTTGGTAAGAGAAAGCTGTGCTCGATATTTCCTGCACAGGGGAAGACCTTGCCATTCCCATGGGCTTGAAACATTGAGGTTTTTGAAATGACCGTGCTCATGTCAATGGTACACATTCAATCAGAACTCTATCTACTTCCTACATGCTTGTGTGAGTTTCACTGTGGACACATATATTCATTTCTCTTGGCAATTTGATATTTTAAAATAGAGTAAAAGCATAAAAGACCCTATCGGTACTCCAAATTCTTAAAAATGCAGATTGGTAACTGGCATGATTATTTCTGGTTATCTAATTTTTTTCTAATTTTCTTATATAAAATGCATCACAAGTTTTCCTATGCATCTCAAAAAGACAAAGACAATATGGTTGGGTTTTTTGGTTTTGGTTTTGGTTTTGGTTTTGGGTTTTTTTGTTTGTTTGTTTGTTTGTTTGTTTTTTGTTTTTTGTTGTTGTTGTTTTGTGTGTGTGTGTGTGTGTATGTGTATGTGTGTGTTTTAAGACAAATCCTCTCCAGAGTGTTTGGAAGATGTAATTCCTCACCTTGCACTTGAATCT